ACTCTTTCCTAACACAGCTTAGTATCTTCCCTGCTGCGCAGGGTAACTGTGAGGGGTCTTCAAGAAGTTCACAGAAAATGCATATTACAAAAAAACTATTTGTGAATTTCAAAATGCTTTTACACCCAAACAAACTCATACTTTAATTCCATTTTCCACAAACTTCTTGAAGTCCTTCATAAGAAGGTCGAGCTCCATTTTCACTGAGCAGACAATGAAGGGAACAAACACAATAATTGAATAATTGACATATTTATGTAACTTAGCTAGATCCTCAGTGATCGTCACAAAAGAAAACTGAAGAGAAATCTTCCATTTTTAACATAAATTACAGTACGTTTACTTTAAACAATAATCTTTCCTAACGCATTTACCTTGATTAGTAGGTGAAAAAAAAAAAAAATGCCCAGAACTCTCTGTACTTTCTGTTCAATTTTGCTGTGAACCTAAAACTACCATTAAAAAAATCAAGCCTTTATTAAGAATGTGTCCCTTAGACTTAGACATAAGACATAATCTTCTTCTAACAATGAGGTTCACTGGTATCTAGGCAGCTTCCTATGAGACCTGTGGGACGGTTATCTCAAACTCCAGTCGCTGAGGTTGCAGAGTGAATTTGGAGTTCCACATGGATGCTAGGCATGCCTAAGGATTTTCTGGATGAAATTCATAAGGTTGTCCTGGTAGCTCAGAATTGTATAGTTGAATATAATCTATTCCTGGAGAACAAAGCATCTGTAAAACCGGGGCTCAAGGTAGGAATGAAGCAGCCCATTAGAATCCAGACAAACAAGCAAAAACCAAGGTATAGGCAGAGGCCACCAGCAGACAGGCCAAGGGTTAGAAACTAAAAAATAGACAAGAACTCACAGAGAGCCACACACTAAAGGGCAACACAAAGGTGGTGGCCAAAATGCTGGTTGAACCGTCTAAAACTATGCCATAGAAACAAAAGAATGGGAATTAAACGGGAATTAAAAGGAATGGGAAAATGGGACCAGCAGATGGTGTAGTGATTGCGTTGTTGGACTCCCACATGGTCGACTGCAGTATGAATCCCAGCCCAGTGGCTTGAAACTCACACTGGGTGTATGTGCATACATTCCCAAGATCCCGGGAGGAAAATGGAGGAGAAGGGATTGTAGCATGGCCTTCCCCCCTGGGGATGATTTCTCACTTTCCCTCTCATAGTCTCTCTCTCTGTCTCCCTCCCCCCTCCCCCAACCACACACATTCTAAGGCAAAAGCCTTTTTAAAACAAAAAGAAAAAAAAAAAGGAATGGGAAAAATAGAACAGATGTGTAGTCCTAGCATTAGGAGACATGCTTCTAATAGAGTCACCCCTCATAACGAGGGAGCTTCTCTGATTGCAGTCATTTCAGTCTCTTGTTCCTTGTCTAAACAATTAACGAAATGTGCTGATTCTGAATTTCAGTTGAAAAGAAGAAAAGGAAAATCAGATTGGCTTGTATTACATAACAGGGAAAAAAAAAGGCATATTACAATGTAGCAAAAAGTGTAGGAGACCAGGGCCAAGGTTTAGCCTTAACTCTTTCTCTTTTTAAGAGTGTACATGACCTTGAGAAAGTCCGTCATTTAATAAGACTGTTTTGCCCTGTGTAAAATTGAACTGGATAACTTCTGAGGGGTGAGTTGGTCAACCTTTAAGGATCTATGATCTATATGTCTCACGTTGAAATGTCATACATTCAGGTAATTATGGATCCAGTGCTTGCATACCAGTGGAAAATTAGTGGGGAAGGTCTTTAAAATATCAGGGTAGATATGAGTAATAATTCTCAGGAAATTTTTGATGATGTTATAGATAGAATTAAGTCTTCATTCTGTGACTTAGGAGGATGGAATTCAACCTGTAAAAATTACCAGTACCGGGACCCGCAGATGGTGTAATGGTTAAATCTCTGGACTCCCACGTATTCAACAGCGATTCGAGTCCTAGACCGGGCAGCTTAAACTAAGGCTGGGTGCCTGTGCATGCATGCCCAAGATCTCGAGAGGAAAATGAAAGAGAAGGGATTGTGGTGTGGCCATCCCCTCTGGGGGGGTGATTTCTTGCTCTCTATCTCTTTGCCTATCTGGCAAGTACATGTGCCCTATGGTAAAAACCTCTCTTTAAAAGAAAAAAAAAATTACCATTACCGTTTGCTTCTGACAATAACCAGAGATTATGTTCTTTTGTAACCATTCTGACACACAAAAAATGTGGTTAATTGGTTTAACATTGTTCAGTATTCTTGAAATACAGTTCAGATGCCTTATGTTTGGTATTTTAACTATGGGCACATTTTCTTTTCAGGTCAGAATAAGAAGGCTTAAAACAGTTTCCAGATCTATCTTCCAAGCACGCACACACACTGCCTTGAGGGTTTGAAAACTTCTGTCATTTACTTCCTTCTTCTATTCTTAAATTCTAAGTTTAGATTTCTTGAAAACAATATTCATAAACCGATACATTAGTTTGAACCATCTGAAAATTTTGTTTTTATAACTGAAAATTGGTTAAGCATTGGGAATTTGGGGTGGTTCAACATAATAAGATATAGCAATGTATCATGTTTATTAATTACATTTCCTTCTCAATCTGTCACATTAGGTCTTTACCCTCTTCATTTTATTAAAATTGTTTCTACCAAAGTTTCCACTAACTTCTTAATCTCCTAATACCCTATTTTCATTTCTCAACATTTTATCGACTAAGAGGAAAGCTCTAGAATCCTGTTGTTGAGAGTGGAATGCTGGCTCTGTCCTTTATAGCTCTGTGAATGTTACATAGACTATTTAACTTTTCTGTGTTTTCATTTCCTCACCTGTACACTGAGGCTATCCCTTATCAGTCTTTGGTTAAGACCAAGTGTAGTATCTCTACGGTAAAGATGTAAATAATGCCCACTTCTTAGAATTGTTGCAAGCACCAGAGGTACTGAATATGATGACTGCCTGCAGTATAGTATTTGTTAAATACACATGATTCCTATCAGTTGACTTTTTACAACATGTGACACAATTTAACATAAATTTTCTCAAGATATTTAAGCATTTTAAATATTTAAATATTTTAAATAAAACAAAATAAAAAAGGACATTCTTATAATAATTACAACAAACTTAAGTCAAAACTCCCCTTACTACCTCTATATAGTCTCTTCTCTGGAAGTCATTGGCGTTATCAGTTATTTAACACACATACACATGTACTATCTTTTTTTTTTTTTTTTTTTTGAGAGATTTTCACTGTAGGGCGCGTGCGCTCGCCAGACAGACAGAGAGAGACATAGAGACAGAAAGCGAGAAATCACCCCCCAGGGGGGATGGTCACGCCGCAATCCCTTCTCCTCCATTCTCCTCTCGGGATCTTGGGCACGCACGCACACGCGCCCGGCGTGAGTTTTAAGCCACCGGGTCCGGGACGTGAACCGCGGTCGACTACGTGGGAGTCCAGCGACATAGCCATTACGCTAACTGCTGGTTCCCCACATGTACTATCTTTATGTTCCTATATTAATTTTTTTTTTTGGAGAGGTTTTCACTATAGGGCATGTGAGCTCACCAGACAGAGAGAGACAGAGACAGAAAGCTAGAAGTCACCCCCCAGGGGGGATGGCCATACCGTAATCCCTT